GCCAGGCGTGATCAGCCTGCGGACAGCTCGAGCGCGATGACCCTAACGTCGGACCAGCACTGGGAGGCGAAGCCTGGTATGGTGCGGGGGACCGACGAGGTGCAACCTTTAGGACTGCCGGTGACCATGAGACCAGGTACCAGGTACCCACGTGCGGGAGCGAGGGTGTACGCACTATATTCTAGTGTACTAGTCGGGTCGCTTGAACCCTGTGTCAGGGCTACAGCTACAACACGTGGTGTGGGTTTGTCTACTCTGGGCCATCGGTGTACTCAGAAAAGCCCGTTCGTGGAATAAGAAAATTGTTTTTGTTTTGGGGACATTTTGGGTTTGGATGAATGGAGAATATATTGTCCTTGTGTGTCGGTCGTGTGCTCAGATCAATGACATTGCTATTGCCTCAAGTGAAATGTTCTCGGGCGTACTACAAAGCCAACGACCTGAGGCCTGGCCTGCTTAGACTTCTTGACAACATATTCTGCGTACGGCTTGTATCCCACGGAGAGGCGCTCGATAACGTTTTCAATTGTATGGATGTGTTTGCCAGAGGGTAACTATATGCGGCGAAATAGCAAAATGAACGAACAGAGAAATCATAAATCATCCCAATTTCTCGCCTTGCCATGGATCGGGGAAGTCAACGGCATCGTGGCATGTCCTCCCGAGCCGCGTGTCGCTGGCGCAGCCGTGCGTACTGCAATGCGCGGCCCACCTCACCTGCTGGGCGGAACGGATGAGCAAACATGCGCATAGTATTTGCGCTGCACGACGCGTCACGCGTTCTAAATCGAGCGCGCCGCCCCGCCGCCGCACCTCCGCCGCGTTATCACCACGGCCCCACCGCGGGCCGCCGCCTCTGCTGCTGTATCCAAGAGGGTGGCGGGCGAGTGTTTTCGGACTGTTTTTATCCTCGAGTCGAGACGGGGAAAGAAAAGCACGTCGGCGCGCTTTCATTCTCAAACGGCAAAAAACGATACTCTGCTGACTGACAGTTTTTCCCGTTTTTTTAATCAGAGATGTGGTCTGCTAAAAGATCAGCTGGCCGTCGCACGGGGTGGCGGAGGGTGGGGCGGGGCGAAAGAGAGCGAAGTCCCCGCCTCCGCGTCGTTGTGACGCTCATGCGATTGCGATTTGGGGAGGGTGG